TCTTAGGTCCATGTCTTACGTGATTTTTTTTAGGCCTATGCCTGGTTATACACTTGAGTTTTCTGTTATTTCTACGTAACAGAAAAAACCAGATCTTGTAGTAGTTCTGTGTTACTGTGACAAGTTTTGAAGAAAGAGAAGGTCCTGATTCTTTTTTGTCTCTTTTGCTGTAATATTAATCCTAAATCATTCCCTCCATCCAGAGTTGCTCTGATGATCCAAATGGCACTTGGTGGTTTGCTTTAAGTTTCTTACCCCTTCTTGTCCTCAACATAAGATAATCTTTCTTTGACATCATACTTAACCCTACCTTTTTCCTTTCTCAAAGTCAGGTTCCCAAGAGTTCATAAATGCAGATAAGGTGCCTCTTCGTCTTTTTGTATTTCCCTATGCCCTGTCTCTTTTTCTACACAAAAGCAAAACCAAATGCAAAGAGAATGAAATATCATCAAAATTTATTTGTTCTTTACAAAAATGAAAATGAAGCAAGAAAAAATAGATCACTGAAGTCATGAAAGTAGCCTTTCAACAATCCAGATTGTAAGCAAATTATTAATCCTTGATTATTTCTTTTTCCAAATTTTATTTTTCGAAATGTGTTATATATTTATACAGTCATCACTGAGATGAGAATCATTTGCCAAAGTTATAGATTAAAGGAGATCACAGCAAGTAAAGAAGACTCTCTGTTTAGCAAAGCAAGTGGTCTCTTTAGAAAGGCTTATCTCTGATGCCGTTGAAGGGCTAGTAATAATTAGTCTTTTAGGTTGTTCAGCACAGCGGGACCTTGCAGTGCTCTCTGTTTCTCATTTTAGCTGCAAAACGTATTCAACTGTTTAATATGATAAAAGATAACACCTTTTCTTAAAGTGCATTGCGATATGGACTTAAGCAAATCAGTTTTGTCATCACATTAATTTCAATTATTTAAAAGCACCAGTATTAATATATGCAGTGCTGAAACTCAGTATTAGGTTAGTATTAATACTAAATTAATGCAGGTAATGCTATTACCAAGATTTCCTTTGTTTGGCAAGCTCTTTAGTGAGAAACTAGAAATTGATAAGCTGTAAATACACTCTCACCTTCACTTTTAAATGACATTCTTTCTATGCTTTCATGTTTCTAACCCTTATTCAAATAGTATTTAATTTTATGCCTTTTCTTTCTACTCTTATCTATATAAATATACTAATAAGTACTGAGAATTAAATTAACTGTCTCAGTACAGTTTTATTATTTATTACCCTAAAGTAAGTATTGAAATTTTTTAGTGCATATATATATAAATATAAGGATGTCATTGAAAGAGGACTCAGAGACCTTTTGGAACACCATGCAGATGCACTGTATATAATCTATACTGCCATAATACAACTATATCTTCACTCTGTTAATAAAAATATGAAGTATGGACATGTGATGCTTTGACCACATTTCTGCACCCTTTAGTGTGTCATGTAGCCTGAGGCCAGTCTCTCACAGTACAATCAATGCTTGTAAACAACAAAAAGAAGTATTTCTTTGGACTTTCAGAAAGTACTACAACTGAAATATGGCTCAAACAAAATTTTATCTCTAAAGTTAAGCTCTTTCTTAAATACTTAAAACATGCTTTCTCAAACATCTCTTCTAGAAGTGTAAGGTTAATACAAGAAACACACCCTAACCTGTAAATATAGTCTTTCATTAATTGTTACATAAGTAGTAGGAAAGGAAATAATATTTAGAAAACAGAGAAGATTAATTACATCATGGCTTGGACTATACCCTTCAAGATACAACTTAAGAAAACCCCAAAGTCTTAGATGTGGTGTGTGGTAGAAATTCTGTCTTTTTTTTTTTTATAACCTTTTCAGGAAAGCTTCAATTACACTATGCATATAGCAGTCTCAAAAATTGAAACTCTGTAATGTAAATTCATCTTAAGATTTCTAATCACTTTATACATCTAAAACAAGAAACCTAATAACTACTAAATTAAAGTGCTTGCCTAATGCAAGGGACTTGCCAAATTTTTTTGAAAAAATCATTCGATGCTGCATAATAAATCAAAATATTTAGTTCTGTTCAACTTTCTGTAAGAAGCAATTTTGCTGAAAAGTTTTTGCAAAACAATTGAGTGTATCAATAAATTACTTATCAGCCAGTGGAAATTCAATACAAAATCCAAATACCTGTTCCTTTTTTCTTTTTCTTATGTTTGAGAAATCACTTTGTGTTATTTTGATATAAGAGAAATAGATAGGTGTATCTGGAGAATTATACAGAAGCATAAAAAGCAATGAATTTTTACAAAACACTATCAATTCTTTTATATATGTATATGTATAGATATATATGAAAAAATAAAAGCACTTATGTCAGTGAACAAGGTAAGAGTGATTAAGCCTCAATTACAAAAAACCTGATATGCAAAGAAAAAACCCCAAAAAATACAAACCAAAGAACTTTATTATTATTTTCAGTACTTTGCCATTTATATGTGTATATTGGTAAAAAAGGTATATGCCCATATTTTATTCTTGTTCATTAATACAGTCTTGCTTTTAAATTTATTAATCTCTTTTTCCTTTGCATTTTATTTTAAAAAAGCTTTTGCTAAAATAAATAATGAAATGTTTCTCGTTAATAGATGCGTTAGTTCAGCAGTTACCTGAAAAGGTTGTTATCACTCCTTTTTTCACCACAGCCATATTTTTCTGTGCTTTAAGAAGATTGATATGAATTGAAATCTGAGACATTTCCAGTTTCTTAAATAATTCGCAGTATCAGTGATTAAGCCATTATTCAGTGTTGAATTGTTCTACCTATTTCCCTATAAATACATTAGTTAGATTTAATAATAACTGTGAAGAACAAACTGGTTTTCCTTTTAATAAGTAGCCTAGCATACCAAAACAAGATACAATACCAAATGCCCTAGTTAGCAGTGGTGTTGATAACACAAACTATCAGTTTTCTGAAATATTTTCATCAAAATATATAATCAATTATTTTTTGGTAGTTAAGGATGGGAGTTTAATATTTAGCTATAACAAAGAAAACCTGTTGGGGTAATATAAAATTCTCCATTCTTTAGAGAATTTTGGTTTGGTTGGGGGTTTTTTGTTTTGTTTTGGGTTGTTTTTGTTTTGTTTTGTTTTTCAAGTTTAAGCTTAAATGACAAAAATCAGTTCATTGTAATTTCAGACTTTGGTAAGAGAAATACTGCATCATCTCATTTAAATCAGAAGTATAATTCTAAAGCTGAATGGGCTTAGCCCTGTACTATTGCAGAATGAGAACATCTATTGCTAAATAATCTTAGCCCCTCACAAATGAACCCCTCGTGAATGGACCCATGTTTGGTATTTAAAGACATGGGAGAATCCTTTATAATTGCCTTGATTTTTACAATGTGTAGTTCCTGCTGACCAGTAGCATTTTGCCAGCTACATATTTTTTATAATGTCCTATACATAGCAGGATTTTTTACTTAACCCTCTTGAAATGGTCCCAGTTGATGCTTAAGCTGTGCATGTTTGCTTTTGTTTTGATTGCTTTACAACGAGTTATAAGTTGGAAACACAAAATAGGGATCTGTTTCTTAAGATTTTATTTTTCCTGTTTTGACTGCTTGTTTATGTACAAACTGTGAAAAATGGATCTTCATACTGTTTAACATACCTCTAAAATATTTGTGTGTGCATATGTACAAGCCCTTATTTTGCTAATACACAACTTTATGCATTCACAGTGTCCCAGCTTTCTCATATGCATTAAGAATTTTAGTGCAAAAGTATGTATACCTATTTTATGAGGGACTGTCAATGATTTTATGAGGGACTGTCAATGATTGTAAGTAACAGAACTGCTGAAAGTGTGAAATTTTGCTTTATTTATTTCTAAATAGTTTTCGTCAGTAACTATATGAGCATATGATAAATTCCATTGTATAGCACTTTAACATTTTATTTCTTGACTTAAAAGTAGTGTAATTTTGGATATTTTATAATATTTATATATTGCAAAGATGTCAAAAAATATGCTTTGAATAAGTATTGTATGTTATGTTTTGACAATTGGAATTTTACCTTTTCACTACATTTATAAAAAGAAAAGAGTTTTTCTGTCAGGATCTAACACTTTTAAAGAAGAAATGTGTATATAAATTTTTTAAACAGAGCAGTGCTTTTTAATATGTTCAAGAATTAATGTTAAGCATGTGTATATTATTTAGAAAACATGATCAATAAATATGACTCTTAATTATTTTTTGTGTTTATTTTGAACACAGGGCTATAATAAGCTATTAACCTTTGCTCAACTAAATGAACATTTTTAATGCTAATCATAAATATATTGTAGTTATTTGTTGTGAAGGTATTAGTTGCAAGTTCATCCATCATGAAATTGATGCTTACATTTTTTCACCTGCTTCTAGATTAAAAAAGATCAATGAATATTTTAGCAGTTAGTATATTGCCAAAAACTCGATAGCTTCAGCGTAACTGTTGTAAGGTATAGAACACAGCTTGCTGGCTATAGTCCTTGCTTTAGAATGGTGCATTATAAAGTGCCAAAGTAAATGTCTCTTATCTTCTTTCAGACATTGGCCCTATTTGTTTGTAGACTGATAACTGTTTCTAGTGTGCTCATTGAACTTGCTGGAATTTTTGTTTACTTATGGTCTTCATTTTCCCCAAGAGGAGGAGAGAGGAAAGAATATATTCCTCATGTGGTCAGCATATTTTTGAGTATTTATGTGAGTTCACCATCTTGATTTCAAGTCATGAATTTGTTTTTACATGCATAAGCATGCATATTTACATGCATTATTTATCCAATTGACTTTAAATTCCATTAAGTTCCAATGAGTAGGAGAAAGATTTTGTCTTAGGCATTTTTTATTTATTTTAATTTTCTAGTTATGTTATTTTGTTGGTTTATTTATTTTTTTAACTGTTCAGTCTAAGGCTTGTAAAGGTTGATTTGCTCCTGAACTGCTTTGTTCCCAGACATTGCCATCTTCCCCAACTACCACCAAGTCCTCTCCATCTGATCCCATGACCACCTCCAGAGCCAATCAGGTACAGTATCATCCTACCATCTACACCATACTTTTCACGGGTGACAGCTTGCAAACTGGAGAAAAAGATATGGTGGGTTAAGGATTTATTCGTTCATTCACATATATACACCCATAACCATAGTTATCTAACTCTTGTTAGAATTTGGTAAATTAAATTGCAAACGATTTACTTCTTTTAATTTATTTTGTTGGGCTTCTTTAAAATCTCTTATGAAAGCAAAGTATCTTTTAAAATAGTTGGGGTTTATTTTGCATTTGGTTTGATTAATAAATTGCAAAGACACAAAACTGGTGTGTTTGTAGACAGAGTAAATCTTGGTTTATGTATATTTATGTATATATGCACACACATATGGATCATTTCCTGGACCATTTATAAATTATAATAAAATTACCACTAACACCATGTTTAAATAGCTGGAGTTCAACCCAGGAATGGCAGACTTTGTTATTTACTTTGAAAATTTTGAAATGTATTTGTGGACAGCAACATAGGGGCATTATTTAAATATAATAGAAATGAAAATTTATTGATGAAGAATGAAGTAAAATTAAATCTCTCTAAAAACATGCTAAACATATCTAAGTAAGTTTAATTAATATCTTATTTTTTAAATGCATAAACTGTTCTTTTAGCAGTATTTTAATTATACTGTTTTATTTCAATTTAAACTGGAAAAATTATGTCCACAAATTATAATACTGTGTATCTTTGTCTTTCCTATGAAAATTGTTAAAATTACTCCATACCATGATCTTTAGAATTTATTTATGCTTAATTAATACATTATTTATTTTTAATGTACCGTTAAACTTAATGTACTCTGTGTTCAAATAATATAAGTATTCAGTATGTGCTAACAGTGCACACAGTCTGTTTCAGTTAGCTGAATGTTGCTATCAGATCTTGCACAAACATCAAAAAACATAAAAGTTTTCTTCACAAGCTAATTTCCCCTAGAAGTTAACATTGTTATTAATTACTAATCCTCTGATATTTTCTGAACTGCTTAGAACTTGCTGGTGGATGAACAACCAATTTAACATGAACAGAAGCATATTAAAGCATTATATCTTTGACCAACACATGGCTATCTGTTGAAAGGGATGTCTAATACAGAAAGTAATGAAATTTAGAAAGAAATTGTAGAGATAGAACAACTAAGAAAAGTATAAATTGCGATATCCTTCACTTCAATTTGAAAGCCTTCTTCATCAACCTGCTTCCATTCCAGCAACAGTTACTTGGCTTCATCATCATTAAATGACAAAGATAAAATCTTTGCCGACAGCTAGGGATATTTTATGAACTCTCCGTTCAGCTTTTATTCTCTCTCTCTCTCTCTTAATTTTAGTACTTTGTTTATTTTAATTAGATTTTGAAAATGTTGAGTGCACAGATAGTTTCTTATAGGGTTTTTTCTATTTGCTTTCTTTCCCATTTTTTAAAAATTATATCTTCATGATCATTATTTGGAGAAAAAGGAAGAAATACTTTTATTTACAGGAAATACTATTTGAGTATGCTGTTTAATTAGCATAAGAGAAGTACCTACTTTGCATCTGTTCTATGATTTTTAAATTATCAAAATTATAGTGCAGTGTATAAACTTTAAATGACTTTTCAATAGCTAAAAATGCTTATGTTTATAGAAAGTTGTTCTATGAGAATATTTTCAAGTAATATGGCTGAATATACAAGCTAAGTGAAATGTATGCTTTGTGTTCTGTCTATATCCCATATTACATATTTTAATGCATTTTATTCATAACCTTTGTTCAATTCAGTTTTCATAAAAATAATCAACACCTTTTTTGAATATCAAAATTGTATATATGAAGAAGAGTAATGAGTTCCTTTTGGAACTGCTTTTATTATTAACTATTAAAATTCCTACTCATGATTATTTTATCCCTTCTATTATTTTCAAGTGATTTCTAGCCATTCCAGCAGGAAGTACAAAGCACATGATAAGGCAATTAAGGCCTTTCTGTTCATTCTAGTGATAAGTGACGTAGCTGGCAATTGTTCCCAGACTGTAGTAGTGATTAGCATTCAACACCAGTATATCGACAAGTATCTGCACTGCGGCTGTCACACAAAAATAGGTTCCAACACAATAATCTCAAACCTGTCCATAGTCATGTAAGCACCCAATAGGAGAGTGATAGAGAACAACAAATGCTTGTTTCGATATATGACTGTTGTAAGATGACTCTCAAAAGAAAATAACCATTCAGGTATGTGTTTTCTCACAAAATGTTATATTATGATAATAGGAGAGAACTTAGTTAACTAAATGGATGTCAGGAAATTCAGTGTTAAGGTGTAAGATAAATTCACAGCACACTCTTTTGTGTGGATATAGTAGCATATCAGGTTTAAGATCATTCAATTTTCTGTAAGATTTTAGACATCAGAAGATGATATTTTGTATTAAAGATTAGTAAGGTGGTTAAGCAAGCTTTAAGCAATACTTAATGCTGGGTTGCTATTGAAGTGAGATTTTTAAACTGGGTTGGAGGACTCCCCATAAGTCATTGAAATTAGAGAATTGTCACAGTATTACAGAAAATGCCAAGTTGGAAGGGATCCACAAGAATCATCGAGTCCAGCTCCTGGCCCTGCACAGGACCAGAGTCACACCATGTGCCTGAGGGTATTGTTCAAACAGTTCTTGAACTCTGTCAGGCTTAGTGCTGTGACCACTTCTCTGGGAAGCCTGTTCCAAGGCCCAACCACCCTCTGGGTGAAGAACCTTTGTATAATATCCAACCTAAATCTCCCCTGACACAACTTCAGGCAGATCCCTTGGGTCCTGTCAGTGGTCACCACAGAGAAGAGATCAGTGTCTGCCCCTCCTCTTCCTCTCATGAGGAAGTTGTAGACTGGGATGACTTCACCCCTCAGTCTCCTCTACTCAAGGTTGAACAGGACAAGTGATCTCAGCCACTCCTCCTACGCCTTCCCCTCAAGGCCCTTCACCATCTTCACTGCTCTCCTTTGGACTCTCTCTAACAGCCTAATATCTTTCTTCTATTGTGGTGCCCAAAACTGCACACAATATTCAAGGTGAGGCCACACCAGTGCAGAGTAGAGCAGGACAATCCCCTCCCTTGACTAACTGGTGATGCTTTGTCAGGCCCCACAGCATATGTTTGGCCCTCCTGGCTGCCAGGGCACTGCTGACTCAAGTCAAGTGTTGATGAGTACAGCTATGTGATCCTTCCCACTGTAAGAGCATGTCAGTTGTGTTCCCCTGACAGAGCTTGAACAATTTCTAGACACTCTTTTTATTACAAGAGGAAAATAGCTCTGCCAGCAGAGGTCAGAGGAAGCTAGGCAGGAAATCTGGCTTGTATTAGGTCTTCCTTTTAGTGACTCACTCTACCTCCATTCAGATGAGATCATAACTCCTTTGTATGACAGTTTCAGCTTTTGATGAATTGTTTTTGGAAAAATCCAGTGTTGATGAACTACTTGTTTTATGATTCTCAAGAAGAGGATAGCCTCTAAAAATGTCTTATCTAGTGGAAGAAAACAGTTTCTTCAGAACTGTCATGTGTTGTGTTATACTGGCAACATTCTGTTGCCATGGATGCAACAGAAACCTCTGCACTGGAAGTGTTTTTCGCTTTAGTTCTTTGTTCCAGGAAGTTATACATCCGTCAGTATTATTCTTGTAAATCTCTTGTTAATTTTTTAAGTAGAACTTCCTTAGACCTTTATTTGCACTAAAAATCCACACACTGCAAACTTCCCAGGGAAGAAAAAACCAAAGAGGCAATAGAATTAGGTACATTTCCAGAAACTTTGTCTTCCCCTTTCCTGTCTGCCTATTGCTGAAAAGAACTCAATCTTTCTATATGTTTAGACTGAGTTTCTGTGTTACCCATAGCTTAGCACTGACAGACAGCTTCAGTGGTGAAACTGTTCTGCTGATGCCCATGGAGCTAGCAGAATATAGCTTTACTTTTATTTACCAGAAGGAGGAAATCAAGTTGACTTTCCCACAGTACACTTCAAGAGGGAATTTCATCTCAAAAGCAATGAATAATGCAATAAACATCATATAAAGCATGCTTGCTTTTCCTATATAGTACCTTCTAAAGGTACAGGTTTAATACTTATTTTAACAGTTAAGTGACATTAGATACACAAGTATTTCTACAGTTAAACTCTTTACATATTTTTATTTGTTTACAAGATTATTTTTTCTTTTTATCTGCCTGCTTTACTGATGTTACTGTAATTTTAGAGGGAGAAACACAAGTAACATAAAGCTAAGCTTTGTATTTCTCCTTTGTCTATTTGATAAACACCTGTAAACGCGGTTGTGAACCCTTGTGTGTTTCGTTCTCCAATCCTCCTTTTTCTATGGGATTGATACCACTGCCGATCTTTGCTACTGGCTTAAGAGAATAAAAGGCCAAAACACACATTCCCATTTATGAGTGAGTCACAAGAGAGATGGATAGGAGTCCTTTCCCCTTGCCTTACAATTTAGATAGACTTAAGCTTAGTAATATAATAGGATTTATCATAGCAAACTTTGTGTCTATTACTTACTATGTAAACCTTTTATTTTCATTTTTTTTTAGTGCACTATTTTTTCCCATGACATTTGTATTTTTTGCAGTTATACCTTCTATTTTGCTGCTTTGTTGTTGCACCTGAAACTCTTATTCTATCATTTAGTACAGCATAATATAAATTTTGTGGTGTGCAGATAGGTGTAGATTTTTTTCATTCAGTCCTCAAGGTTTATATTTTTTAAAGCATAACTATCTCATCTGGTTGCTGCAATATCTGTAATACATAATACTTTTCAACCTTTTCACATGATGGAACTGAGCCAGTTTTCTTGGTACTACCTGTACCCAGCAGGTACAGCACAAACATATGGCTGTTACAATCCTAGTATTAGAAATTTGTGCTTTTGGCTTATGTTATCTTTTTATTTTGTGCAAAATCTATAGGTTGCAATGTAATATAAT